TTAAGATAGACATTGACAGAGGCTCTTAAGTTCCTATCCCAAAATTATTTTTCTTGATTAAAATCATACTTGGATATATTACGTGGGTAGTTTTTGTGGGCTGGTCTAGAACCTAATCACTTTCTCTTATATTTCTAGGAGAAAATGGACTATGAACTCTGAGCTCATAAATGAGGGAATGTCTTTATATTACATTTCATTATTTAAGAAAAAGATTTTTAGACAATTATAAATTAGGTATACTGCAGTCTACAAAGCTAGATCCATAGCTGTAAAAGGAATGATAAGTGAGGAATCTGATGTTATTTGTGTGAGTCATTTCTTTTCTTCCAGTTATATGCATTTTTCCAACAAGAGTTAGTTGATTATATTAGTGGTTTATAGTTTTGTAGCTGTCAAATTTTAAATTTTCCATGTCTATCATATATAATTTTTAAATGAAAAATTTCAAACACACACAGAAGTTAAGAGAATAGTATAACGGACCCCTTCCCCATATATCTAACACTTAGATTAAAATATTATCAAGATTTAGTCATACTTGCTTCTCCCATGCGGGGTTTTTTTTGGTTTTTTTTTAAACTCCTTTTTTGTTCTTTTTTTTGGCTCAAATTTTAAAAATTTCCCCCTTTGGTCCCAGGGTACAATATTAGATAAATCATAATCTTTAGTTAATTGCATTTATCATTGGTCATTGCCTAGTCCCTCTTAATTTATTCATCCAGGTCTAAAATTATCATTAATAATGAAATAAACACCTAGGAACCTGTCACCCAAAACAAAAAGCTAAATCCTGCTTTGAAACTAACCTGCATCTAACCATCTCCCAGTTCCATTGTCTGTCCAACTCTTCCCTACCTGAAGCGATTGTCTCCTGGATCCTGTGTTCACTAACTTTTTTCCTTCTTATAAGGGAAACCCAATAGAATTAATACTGTTGATACCTGAGGTCAAAGTGATGTATAACCCACATAATCTTTTCATTGAGTTCATCTACATGATTTGCTAAAAATTGTACATTTTTGTTATTTTAAACTTTATAGCAAGTGTATTGTATGCAGTATATCTTAAGTATATTGTGTTAAGTGTAACTTTTTGGAACTTAATTTTTTCACTTTATATCATATTACTAATGTTGTATGTTGTTGGAGTTCTATTAACTGCATTGTAGTATTCCTGTGTGTAACTATATCACAGTTTATTTATCCCCTTTTCTGTTGATGTGGTTTTGGGTTGTTTCCTACTGCAGTTTTTAAAGAAAAGCACAAACATCATGTTCTATCAGTCCTGTCTAATCCGGTGATCTCTAAAGAATATGGACATTTTCTTACGTAATTACATTGCCATGATCATTTCAATAAAATGGACAACAATTCCTTAATACCCAGTCTATTTAAATTTGCTCACTTAAAATGTTTTTTGTTTTTGTTTTGTTTTTTACATTTGCTGTATCTGAAATAACTATGAATAAGGTCCCCATATGACATGACATTTGCTTTTCTATTTCCTGAGTCTCTTAATCTAAAGCACGCCCCTTCCCCAACTTGTCTCTCTCACATGCTGTTGACTTGTTGAAGAACCCTAGTGTGTCCTCACATGTAATGTCCCACATCCAGGATTTGCTTGTTTCCTGCCTTTGGTGTTGTTTAATTTGTTTCTGAAGGCATGATTAAATTCTTTTCAAGTATTTTTGGCAAGACTACTTCACAATTATGTGCTGAGTATTTAATATATCGCATCAAAAGGCTCATGGTGTCTGTTCTACCAATGCTAAGATTTATCAGTGAGTTCGAGTGGTAACATTGTAATGTTTCTCTCAGTCATTAATGATCTTTCTAGAATCAGTTCTCTATTTGGAGGTTATAATATGGTGATTTCTAATTCTATAATTTATATATATTATATATATATATATATTTTTTTTTTTAAAATAAGGGTTCTGTGGAGTGAGTGCCAAGGCTGCTTCAGAGGGGCGGGGATGCCCAGAGGCCTGGCAGCCACCTCATTCCCCAGCATGGGCATGGGACCTGCCAGGGGAGGTGGCAGCCACCAGGTTGGGCAGTGTGGGGCTGGCAGGAAACGGGTCATCTCCAGGTGGCAGCATTGGGCCACCCATTCTACTAGCAGCCCACATGCAGACCTCTGATCTAGGCAGAGGAGCCAAGGTCCCAGGCACATTAAGGATGCTGTCTCAAGTGGGAGGAACCTGCTCTAGGAATCAGGGTATTTTTGTGGAGAGAGAGAGAGAGAGAGTAGGGGAGGGAGGGAAAGAGAGAACCTGCAAACAGGTAGGACGCCTGTTTAATATATTTTTTTAAACTGGAATTCTTCTGTAAAGAATTTTCCTTCATTAACCAAGGCTATTTGAATACCTTGAAATATAGTGAGAGCAAGAATAAATGCTTAATTATTTCTCTTAAATTCTAATTTTTAGAGTCAGGAGTTGGTGTCCAGTTACCTTCAGTGGTGATTCATGAGTTATAGGGACTTTGGGGGCAGGGCGTGGCTTTCTCATTTTAGGTCTCTGTTTGAACTCATGGGTCTTCATGTTCAATTTGGTTCAGTCAGTTGTAGTTACTTATTTTGCTTATGTTTACAGTGGAGCCCGTTCATCTTGGTTTCTGAGTCCTTTTGCCATGACCCCAGTAATCTTAGATAGCTTCTTTGCTTTTTTTGACAGAATAAGCTGTCTGAGGCTTACCTTACACAGTTCCTAACTCAGACCTGGAATCAGTCATTCCTCCAAGAAGCCCTGGTTTCTGTTAGTGCGGAATATTTAGAGACCGCAGTCTGGGCCTAGGAGGACTTACTGTTCTCGGGCTCTCACTGCCTCGAGGCTTTTTTGGTGGGTAGTGTTAAGAAATAATATTTTTAAAAAGAAAAAGACCATATTAGCATTTCAAATTCAGATTGAGGTGTGCACAGTTTTTTTGTTTTTACACTTGTATCTCTTTTCCCTTTGTTCCGAACAACTAACTTAATTATATATTTGCTTTATTCTGATACAGATATCCATTAATAATAATATATTATTAATGTCCTGACATGCATTAAAATAGTAATAAGATAATTTTATAGACCATAGTAATTTCGATATTGCTGCTGATAATAAGATTAATGAATGGCATTTAAGATTTTTTTTGTGATTCTTTATCTTTATACCATATTTCCACTAAGGATGTGCAATTGAAACATTGTGTTCCAGAAATAATTTTTTTCTCTCTGTGGTTATGCCAACAACTTGATATATGGTTAGGTTTATTGGTTTCAGTTTGTTTTCAATTTTTAGGGGTTGCAGTTTAATTTTTTAAAAATAGAAAACATTTACATGATTCCAAATCAAGCTATATAACTGTATACATGCAGAGAACTTTTACTTTCATCCCTTTCCTCTCTAGGTAGCCAGATCCCTCCCTTTCCTTACAGGTAGCCATTTTTATTGATGTTTGGGGGTTTTTTTGTAAATAAAAGCAAACTATATCCATAAGTTCATATCTCTTCCCCTTCTTACACAAAAGTTAGCATACTGTAAGCACTCTTCTGCACCTTCCTTTTTACATTTAATCTTGAGATCATTTCACTTATGGACACAGTGATTTCCTCAGTCCTTATTATGGTGCATGATATTTCATTGTGTGTCATCTTTTATTCAACCAGTGCCTTATGGATGGACATTTGTTTGTTTATGATCTTTTGCCATTATAAATAATGCTACAACGAATAGCTCTGTAAATAAGTAATTTATTATTTTTGCCAGTGCATTTGGGGTGAGTTTCTGGACATGGGATTGCTAGGTTAAGAGTAAATGCATGTGTAATTCTTCCAGACACTGTTAATTCATTTTTATTCTCTTTGCACCATTTTGCCTTCCATTCCCACAGCCATGTGTGGGAGTGCCTGTTAACCCGCTGCCTCTTCACCTGAGTGTATTGTGAGACTTGGACTTTTGCCAATCTGATAGCTGAGAAGTAGTTTCTGTATATACCGTATTTTTCTGTGTATAATATACACTGTTATGGCCCAAATTTGTGAGGGAAAAATAAGGATTCATATTATACATGGGTAGTGCTAATTCTGTTTCCCTGAAAGTTTTGGCCAAAAACACGGGTACGCATTATACATGGCAAAATATGGTAGCTTGACTTTGCATTTCTCTGAGTTTGAAATAAGTGAGCATATTTCCATGTGTTTTAAGGCCATTTTTATTTTTTTGTGACAGTTTTTATAATTTCTGATTTTGCTATCAGGTTGTTTGATTTTTTTCCTTCAAAAAAAATTTAGGAGCTCATTATACATTATAGATAGCCTTTGTGACATACTGTCAACCACTTTTTAATTTAGGTGATTGATTTTTAAAGAGTATCTTATTAGTGACAAAGTAAAATGCAGAGGGAGGCTCTTAATTTCCGAACTACCTTGGGTAGACCTAGGCTTTCAGTTTACAGTAGAGTTCACTTGGATATACTTTTAGGAACTATACTCTTAGTGATACTATTAAATTGTCCTTAAAATTAATCATCACTTAGCTATTACCTTCTAGTTAATTTGGAGGCATAGGATTAAGGCAGAAAACTTTATAAAGAATCTTGTTTAATTCTGTTTCTAATATTGCTTGAATACTTTTTGAAAAGTAAGAATATAAATCAGATTTTAAGGATTATCACAAAATCACTTCTGCAGTACCTGGTACACCATAAATTGTGTGAGATATTACATCATTTTATTATTCTTCAGCTCTGGGGTTGCTGAAAATTACCTGCTTTGTACTATAGACTGAGATGGTAAGAGTTTGAGTGAATAGCTAGGGAAACTTAAAAAATAACTCACAGGATGTTGATTACATTTTTTTTTTCAAACATTGCATTATTCATACATGAGCAGCTTTTCTTTTTAAAATCTAGCTTTGTAATGCAGTCCTAAAACAATAAAATGTCTTTTCTGACAATTATTTATTTTTGATGTGATTTCCAATTTAAAAATCAGGTATTCTATTTTTCTAGAAGAACCTAACAAGACATGTGACAGCAGTAACACTAGTGCTACCACTACCTCCATTCAGCCTAATCTGGAAAACAGTAACAGCAGCAGTGAACTAAATTCTTCCCAGAGTGAATCTGCTAAGGCAGCTGATGATCCTGAAAATGGAGAAAGAGAGTCTTATACACCTGTCTCTGTTCAAGAAGAGATAGGTAAGAATACACTTCATACATTAAAACGAGCTTTTTACTTTTTTTAATTTTTAATTTTTTAAATTCAAGTTTGATGGGGTGGGAAGATTTGGATTTTCTTTCCTTTTTTTTTTTTTCTTTAAACACTCACGTTTTTGTTTTAAACAATACAAAAGCACACAGGAAAAATAGATCTTTTTCATATCCCTTCCCAAAGGTCACATTTTATGTCTTTCTCCATGCAGTTACATTAATGTATGTATGTGTACAAAAACTTCTTTTTTTTTTTTTTTTAATTTTTTAATTTGAACAGGATCATTTTGCATGTACTGCTCTGCATCTTACTTTTATTCACTCAGTAATACATGTAGCGGATCTTCTCATGTTATAAATTGAATTCTTTCTCTTTAACTGCTGCATGGTACTCCACAGTATGGATGAACCATAATTCATTTATTATATCTTTATGAATGGACATTTAGGCTGTTAACAGTTTTTTCATTATTACAAATAGTGGTGCTTTTTCACATTCTCAACATATATCTTTGTGTACTTATGTAAGTATTTCTAGCAATATAGAAACAATAAGTAGAATTGCGGGGTTGAATGAAACGCACATTTTTAAAATAGTGATGGCTACTGCTTCATTGTACATTAAAAGAGATTTATGCCAACAATTTACATACATATGTATTTCTTCATATTCTCACCTAAATTTAGCATCATCAGTTTCTTATGTTTTTGCCAATGGTGAAAGTATTTCATTTAAAAATTTGTATATTCCTGCTTACTAATGTGGTTGAGTTTCTTTTCATGTTTGTTTAACTTTCTGTGAATTGCTTCTTCGTATCATTTGCTAATTTTTTCCTATTGAGTTTTGATATTTTTCCTTAATGAGTTTTAGGAATGCTTCATTATGTATTATGGCTATTAATTTTTGATTTTACATATATATAAGTGTACATATATACACATATATACATAAGTATACATATATATGTATACATATATATAGCTTGTTTTTAACTCTGTTATCTTGTACAGAAATTTTTACACTCTGTGTAGTTAAACTTATCAATCTTTTTCTTTAGGGTTTCTCTGGATTTTGTGTCTTGCTAGGGAAGACCATCCCTATCTCAAGAATATACATTTATTTTACAGCAATTTTGCATAACCCTTCTATAGCTTTGTTTTTAATCCTTCTGGAGTATAATTTTGTGTATATGAGATAGAGATCTGTTTTAATCAGGACTTTTTCAGTTGTAAGTGACCAAACCAGCTTAAACTAGCTTAAGTAGAAATGAAATTTAATTACTCACGTACTTAGGAAGTCCAAGCCATCCTCAGGCGTAACAGGATCCCAGGTATCAAAACTCTTTCTGTCTTCCTCTCTTTGTCTCTCACCTTTTGGATCTGCATATATTTGTTTGTTAACTTCATTCTCTCCTGATACAGACAGGCTTTTTCCAAGTGACAGGGAAGATGGCATCAGCGGTTTATAGTCATGTCTTTCCAAGGTCTGTGACCCAAAGACAGAGCCCCTACTCCTGCTCCAAATCAAAAGCCCTTGAGGAAGGAATTTGAGTGGCTTATCTTGGACATATTGTTCACACCCCTGTGGCCAGGGCAGGCAAGGTATTATGATTTATGGCTCCAGAAAAAGTATATGATTGGAGTGGGTAGGAATGGTTTTCCAAAGAAACAGGGATGCTGCAAAGTTAAAAAACTGTAAATAACTACTATACCACCCTTTGGTAACTCAGCACAAACTTGTATATTCAAATTCAAAAATGCTCCCGTCTAACGTAATGCAAAGATCTCACCCACAACTGAAATTTTCAAAAACTTTTTCCCCAAAAGTACATCTGGTAATTGTAATTGTATGTAGGAATCCTGTGTGTTGTGTATTATTTTTTATTAGGTCTGGATGTGGCTTATCTTGATCTCACAATCCAGGAGCCAAATTATGAACTTAGCCACCTGTAACTCTCATCACCCTGATTGTGAAGGGCATTCTTTGATAAACCTAGCTGCCATTAGTTTTCTGGGTGGATGGCTGTGGATGAGATGTGAGTAGCATATGGGAAGATCTCCCTTTGGAGGCTGTTCTGCTTCAGCAGCCTAGTTCTGGCTGGCAGTTGTCAGGGATGGGTTGCTGGCGATTGCTGTAGGTTTGAATAATCATAAATCCTAGTTTGGCAGGTTTGGTGTTTTTTCTAGCACTGGCACTCCCGTATAGATTGCCTGAGTACCCAGCGAGTACCTAAAGCCCAAAACTTGGTTCAGGGTTCCTGAAGGTAAACCCCCTACTTGCCTACTTTATCTGCTTAGCAAACCAGTAGCCCTAGTCTTCAGGTGAGTAAAGTCTGTCTAGGTTTCTGCCTCCTGACATCCTTAAACCAGGAGCTCCAGGGCCAGGGTAAATGTGCCTCCAGGCTGCATCAAAATGATTCACTCATTTATAATATGGCCTTTGGGCAGGGGTATTAGATAAAGACTAACACTCTCAGCCTGGTTTCCTTTCCAATTTTACCTCTAGGGATGAATTTTCTGTTCCTTTCCCTTATTTGCACTTAACTTAGCAAGTGGCAAAGGACGGACTCTCAGCAATGTTGAGTTATTGGCTCTAAATTGAAGGGCTGCTTTTTAAAAATGCTGTGCCATTCTCTTTGTGCTTTTTAGGAAGTCTAGCCTAGACCAAACAATGCCTAAAATGTCTTTATTGTAGGACTTTATAAATGGTCTCGAGAAGTAGCCACCATAGTTGAGCATCTTGACATTAAAATCTCCAGCGTGGGTATGGTCTGGGACCCGAGAGAAAATTGCTTATGATCTAACCAACTGCTTTGTTACCACACATCATAGATTTACTAGTTTTGCAGTCTGGGATGGCAAGATACCCAGTACCCCTAACACATCTTGCTTTAATCAGTGCCATATTTTGGAATTAGAATCTTAAAATACTCTTAGATTATTTAGAATTCATTGATGATAAGTGACAGAAATCTACTACACTTGGCTTAAAACAAAAAGGGGATTTTATTGGCTTATACAGGTGAGCAGTCCAGAGGTGATGACAGTGTCAGGTGCATTATTGGACCCAGGGAGCCAGATGAGGTTATCACGGGTCTCCTTCTTATTCAAACCCTCCAACCCCCATGATGAGCTTATTGTCTCATTGGAAGTTTTCTCCATGTTGTGGGATAAAAGTAACCAACGTTTAATTTATACCCTTTCTGCTCACTAATACAATAAACAAAAGACTTTCTCCATCTCCAGATTTTTAAATGGAATAGGATGCTGCATGGCTTGGGCCACATAAGCAGTTCTGAGACAGTCACTGTGGCAGCCAGTGATGTGCTTTGTCTGGCTAAGCTGGGTGACATTGCTCACCCATAGGTGAGGCAGGATACTTATTTGCAGCCCTTGCACAATCATATGATTGAAGGATTGAAGTGGGGGAAAAGCATCTCCCAAAGGAAAGAAGGAGTGTTGAACACACAAAGTTCTAACAAATGTTTACTGAATTGTTTTAACTTTTATATTTTTCAAAATGAATAACTAGTTTTCCCAGTCCAATTCATTTCTCTGCTTAAAATGCCATCTTTTAAAAAAATGTCTTGCTCTCCTGTTTTATTTACTTTTAAGTGTATGTTTCTATAATACATCATCTATATATTGCATTGTGTGTTCACCACCCAGAGTCAGTTCTTCTATCACCATAATATTTGACCCCCTTTACCCTCTTCTGCCAACCCCCAAATGCCATCTTTATAATACAGAGTATAGTAAATTTTCTGTTTTGTTTTTCATTTGCCAGTGCCACACTGTCTTAATTTTAAAAAGCTTTAAGTTAAAAAAGAAAAATGAGATCATGTTCAACCATCTGGCCATTGGAAATTGGATAGTGATGCAGTATTTTCAGAATCTGTAGGAATTCTAAGCCAAAGTGAGATTCATGGGAAAGCAGAAATTGCTCCTTGGCAGTTAAACATGTCACTTTTTAAAATTAAGTTACTGTGAAAATGGGAGAGGCCTTTATTATATTAAAAACAACTATTGGGTCGTTGGAAAAGTCATGGCGTATTTTGTCTTATGTTTTTCAAAGGTCATTTATTTATATAAAGAACAAAGATCAATCAATGATATATTGCCCGTTTTGTTCGATAACCTTTTGCCATCTTTCAGTGA